CAAAAAAAAAAAAAAAAAAAAGAAAAAAAAAAGAAAAAAAAAGCCTCACTGATGCTTTCATCATAGACTATTTAAGTACGTTCCAATTTATACGCCAGATAACTCGCTTTGGAAGTAGGAAGAGTGTAAACTGCAGGTCAGTAGGTAGAAACACACTGTTTCATAAAAATCGAGAAACGGTCCCTCCCCTGCTGCTTCCACCCTTCTGTTGGGCTGTCTTTCTGGATCCCAAGGCGGGGGAGGTGTGTCCAGCACGTGGACAGTGGGCTGGGAAGGTTTCTGGTGGCCCTGTGGCTCTCACCTGATATTTTCACCGGACTTTGAAAGCTGGGTTGAATTTTATGGACGTTGTCATTTTTTAACACCTGATCCAGGGGAGATCTTTCAAAGAAGGTGAGCACGACTTCTGACCTGGAATACTGGGAAGAAACACGTTCATTCCTATACATTTTCCTCCCGCGAGGCAGCCCGGCTGACACTGGTGGCCCCGCACTGCTCACACTGCGGGACTGAGCGCAGACGGGGCTGCTCCCCCACTCACCTGTCAGGTGCTCAGGTGGCTCGAGGCCCAGGGACGGACAGGATGGGGACAGTGGGAACAGTTTGTGCCTGGTCTGCACCAGCGTTCACGCACGTCCATCTCCCCTCACTTTCCAGTAAACCGCGAGCCCGTCACTTCCGCTTCCTCCCCAGGGAGAAAACACCGGAGCCCCCAGAGCCCAAGGAGCCTTCCTTCCCTGGGCTTACACCTAACCCCACCTGACACTTCCAGGAAGCGCACCCCCGCCCCACCCGTCCACCCGCACCCACCTTGCGCGGCATGCTGATGACGGCCTTAAGCAGCTTCTCCACTTCGTTAAGCCTGGTCTCGATGTCGTGGGCATCCTTTATGGCGACCAGCCCTGGGATTGAGACAGAAATGCCTCCATCAGAAAAACACACCAAGAAGTGTGCTCCCGAATTAAATACAGAACAACATCACGCCTCCCTGGCGTCACCCTCCACGAAAGACATCTGGGAAGCTTACTCGGCCTCACGTGGGTGCAGCCCTGCCCTGAAAGCCTGGCTCTCAACCTCGTTTTAAGTTTCAACGACCCAACGAGTGATTAACGTGTGTGCTGCAGTGGACGCTGTCCGTCTGAAAGCCACAGAGACACCATCAGAGGCGTCTCCGAGCGGGACTCTCCAGCCGCACCCTGGACAAGGCCAGAGCTCAGCCCCCACCAGCGTGGTGGCTGTAGCCGGGGGAGGCCGGACCCACCAGCCCCCAATGACACAGCTGAGATGACCACAGGCCCCGTGGAAATGGAGCCTATGTTTAGACAAGTCGTGTAGATACCAGCTTTGGAAAGGAAAAAAATCACATCTTTACCCAGAGAAAACCAGCGTGGGTATGACTCACAGCACTTTCCAGGAATCGGCTTCTACCTTCGTTCCGATTACCGGAAGTCTCGACTGGCTATAAAAAGCGCAGTATTCTGTCTCTAAAACACGAGAGCTAGTGGCACGGAGACTTGGGGTGTGTTTCTATCTTCCTCTGAGCATGCAGAGCACAGACCTTCCCAGCACAGCTCCTACACATCAGCTTCCCAGGGATGGAGCAGGTCAGATTCCCAAGGACATTTCACGTGACCCAGGATGCTGGTCCCGGTAAGCTACGACCAAACCACAGAGGCTGAAATCCCAGAACTATTTTCAGTCACTGAATCCCAGTTTTCAGAAGTTTTGGTTTTGTTTTACAGGTGAAAGCATTGTTCATTTTGCAGGCAGTTCACGTAGTGTCAAAATTAACCTCCTAAACTACGTGATTAAAATTAAGAGGCCCCAGAACACGTGGTCCATGGAAACCAGGGGCGCCCCAGATGTAGGAAGAGGGCACTTCTGAAGGCCTGGGCTGAGCAGGGGGTCCCTCGCATTAGCTGGGGTCAGGAATGTCCAGTCAAGTCCAGGAATCGGTCCCTGGACTTCCTGGAGCACAGGCCGGGTGCACCTTCACCTGGCCACCCGGGGGCCTGCTTCTCAGTGGGTTATCTGGTCCTGCCCACCCCACCTCAAGCCACATGGGCCCAGGCAGCCAGCCAAAGACCCCAAGCCTCGGTCCACACAGCCTGCGCTGGCAACCTCAGCATGACTCCCCAGCCACCACACCGGGCCACCTCCTCCCCTCTCACCCAGGCTGCCTGGCCTACCCACCACCCTGCAGGCTGGGGGCAGCGAGAAGGGAGAAAGAAAACGCCAGGGTGCCAGAGTCTCAGCCCTGAGTTTCTTGTTTAGAGTTACACACACACACAAGCACACACACAGACACGCACATGCAGACACGCACACACACCCCTCTGTGACCTCTTGCTTGCTATGGACAAGTCTACAGAGGAAAAGAGGGACGCTGAAAACTCCTCTGAAAAGTTGTCTTTAGAGACAGGACAATTATGTAAATCATCCCCACAAAGAGCTTCTTTATCTAAGACAAGCAAAACTACCGTCATGTTTGAACTTTTGTTACATCTATAGCACGTACTGGTGTTAAATCACTCGAGTTTATGACACAGTAGGTGTGTTCTTATATTCTGTAAGGACAGTTTACAGGATCAGCCCCTCGTCTGGTCAATGCATACAGCGTATTTATACCCACCTCCTAGGACGTAAAGCATGTGTAGCCCATGGTTGGGTTGACAACCACCCAGGGTACCATTCAGTCAAATAAACACACTCTGCTCTATGCTGATCTTCTTTTAGGGCTGCCAGAATTAGCAAGCAAAAAGCAGGACACCTAGTTCAAGGTGCGTTTCAGATAAACAATGAATAATGCAACAGTATGGATAGACACACTAAAAAATTATTCAGTGTTGTTTATCTGAAACTCAGACTTACTGGGTGTCCTGTACTTTACCTGGCAACCCTATCTTCTTGGCGACCTGCTTTCCAGAATTAAGTAGAGAAAGGCAAGAAGTACGCAGTCAGGCCTCTGGGAAAACGTAAGTGTTTAGGCTCAGCGCACAGACCCTGGGGATCCGAGCCTCGCCAACCTCACCACCTCCGCTGCTCTGTGACTACCACATCCTCATCCCAACCCCGAGGAACGGGTCCAAGCCACCAGAACATGGCCCCCATGCCCACACAGCACTGCCTCTGGGGGACCCATTCCCACTGGCCTTCCCCCACCTCCAGGCTCGAGTGGGAAAATCCCACCATCCCTTAAAGACCACGTGGGACACGCCTTCTGCTCTGTGAAGCCCCCCACCCACCAGGCGGGACTCGGTCTGCTCTGAGCTCTGGGAGAGCTCCATCCACCCCACCTCTGCAGCACTCACCGCTCTGCAGCAGACCTGCTCCCTCCCCTGTGGCCTCCCCAAGCCCACCTGTGAAGCTGAGTGTAGGAGGTACCCAGGGTCCCCTCCTGTCGTCAGCTGTCAGCACAGGGCCTGACACTGACACTGACACCCGCAGGGGATTCACTGGTCGTTGGCCGTTTGTTGACGGAATCAAGTTGCACAAGAGAACAGAGTCAAGGACAAGTTATCATCTGTGTGTGTCCACCAGCCTACGGGTGCCATCCACATCTCTTGCCTCTCGGCGTCACTGACCCCAGCCGGATCCCAGCCAGCGGGCTCAAGGTCACAGGCCTCGGAGGAGTGCTGCCCAAGACCGAGGTGGCAACAAACCCACTGAGTTGCCGGCCACTCTGGTTTGGTTCTATCTGTGGAAGCTGCAACCTTATCGCTGCCTTTCACCTGCCTTTATGCTTCTGAGGAGAAGCCAAACGGTGCTCTCTGGAAATGAAAACATGCTTCAAAACAAGAGGGGCTGAAAACATTTAAATGGCGAAAGAACATGCTGGAATCCCTCCTGCAAGAACAGAGTGACAGGGGATAGTTTTCTAAGCTTTGGCTTTTGGTTGGGGGCCCTTCCTCATAATTTATTTCCCCGTGGCATAGTGGCTTCTGGGTGACAACCAAGGCGATCGGGCTCAGCGTTCCCATGGTACGTCCTCCTTTCCCCAAGGAAGCCCGTCCACGTGAATGACAAGGACACTCACCTCTTCCCTAGGGAGGGAATCAAAGGTGGAGATTTGTGAAGCTATGGATTCGGCTGGGCTGACTGGCATCCACCTACGCGTGGCCCTCAAGGCTACCTGGCCCCCACAGAGCCCCTCCCTCAACCCACATCAGGGCAGGAAGGGGTCACCACTGGCTACGGGGCTTCCAATGGCCTGTCCCCTCTTCCAACGCCAGCACCCACGTTTCCCTCCTCTCCTGGGCCTGGAAATCACCCTCCTTCAGTTGTTTTAAAGGTGTTTCCCATTAAACAGGGAGGTGTACTAAATGCGGAAGGAAAACATTCAAACAAACAAACAAACCCAAAGCTGTGCTTTGGGGCCATAGTGCAGAAATGAAATAAATCTTCCTTTAAAATTTCATGTCTCAAAACCCACTGAGGTCCGCCCCCATCAGGTTTCTCAAGTTCACAAGAAACACCTGCTGGCAACACCCAGGATCAGAATCAATTCCCAAAATGACACAGCACCAGGTGTGGGGTGTGAGCAGAGCCCACATCTGGGGCCTGTGTCATTGCCCGGGACCGACGGCGTATGGAGACGCCCAACTACGTACAGGCAGTTGGGGGGCTTTCTGTCCTACCTGCTGTATTCTTCCTTTGTGACCCAAGAGCTTTGGCTTTTGATGACCGGCAGAGCTTTTCCAAATGTTGCTTGTTTACAGTAACTATTTTAAACTTCGTTTTCAAAAATGTGCTTATGTACAATAATTTAGGATTATCTAGAACGTTTAGCTTTTGTATTCCAAATATTGTTGATTGAACGAAAACTGTGGGGATCTTGTTTGACTCAGTTTTACTATCTGAGATCGTGAGTCTAAAGAATGCAAGCGGATAAAATGGTTGTAAATTTGCACAGTTGGACAGAAAAACTCAGACCCCCCCCCCCACCCGCCTTGGTTATGAGGTTGCCGTTCCAGGGCCGCCCAGCAGGAGGCGCCAGCAGTCCATGGAAGGCACAGGACGCAGTCCAGCGAGGACGGCGGGAAGGGATGCGGTCCACCCGCCACACCCAAGTTCTAAGGAAACTGACTCAGAAGACTTCACAGCCCCAGGAAATTTTCTAATTTCTTATATAGCATCATCACGAATATAATCTCAATTTTTAAAAATTTCACTCTACACAATTTGTGATGTGAGAAATTTATCCAGATATAGCCCAAAACTGTCAAAAATTTGAAACTGTAAAATTGATAACAGGACTACGTACATTTCAGTATGTCAATTTCACATCCCTTTGGGGGTTGAAATTCAGCCTTGAGCAGCCAGGGTACCCCTTCTGTCTAAACTAGTTTACCCTTGAAAATCCAGAACTCCAAACCAGCTTCTGTGAGTTCCAGGGTTAGGTCTTTTATACAAACACAAACACCTGACTCATTCTCGGAACCCAAACTGAACCCAAACTGTATCAGCACAAAGATCAGGCTGAGGGAGCAGACACAGACCAGTGTCCTAACCTCAGACACCTGGTCCCACGTCCTACTTCCGTGGGTGGAGGCTTCGGACTGAACATCTCTGGTGACTGTCCCAGCCTCCAGGGACAGACTCAGGGCTGAATCTGGCTGAGCGCCTTCTGCCGCTGTAATTCTGGGAGTGAAGACACATGCTTCTCGGGTCAACTGGGAAGGAGTGTCCGTTACCCAGAGGATGCCAGTCCCTTAAGAGGAGACTCCCATGGCAGACCCCAGGGAAATCTTCTGTGATGTGGACTTTCCAACTGAGCCAAAGAAGGCATAGTTCAAAAGTCCATCCACGCAGAGCCCAGAGAAGCCGGCGGCTCGGGCGAGGTGCGGAGGGCACTGTCACGAGGTATATATTCTTTAAAGGCTGAGCATCGTACCAATTTTGG